GTGTTGAGGAGGCAGGAGGCTGCAGAAGGACTTGGACAGTCTAGGAGAGTGGGCAAAGAAGTGGCAGATAGAATAAGTGTTTGAACATGTGAGGTAACGCACTTTGGTAAGAAGAATAGAAGGTTGGAATATTTTCTAAATGAAGAAAAACTTTGGAAATCTGAGGCACAAAGGGACTTAGGAGTCCTAGTTCAGACTTCTCATAAGGTTAACATTCAGGTTCAGATGGCAGTTAGGAAGGCAAACACTATGTTAGCATTCATTTCAAGAGGGTTAGAATACTAAAGCAGGGATGTACTGCTGCGGCTGTATAAGTCTCTAGTCAGACTGCATCTGGAATATTATGAGCAGTTTTGGGGCCCATATCTAAGGAAGGATTTGCTGGCATTGGAGGAGGTCCACAAGGGCTTCACAAGACTGATTCGGTGGATAAAGGGCTTGTCCTATGAGGATAGGTTGAGCACTCAGGATCTGTACTCGATGGAGTTTAGAAGGGTGAGGGGGGATCTGTTTGAAACTTACAAAATACTGAGACACATGGATAAAATGGATATGGAGAAGGCGCTTCCATTTGTAGGAGGGACTAGGATCCAAGGGCACAGCCTCGGAGTGAAGGGAACGACCCTTAAGGGATTAAAGGGAAAAGGCATTGAGAAACACATCAACCACGATCGAATGACAGAGCACACTCCTTGGGCCAAATTGACTAATTCAACTCCTATACCTTATGGTCTTTGGTTTTATGGCAAATTGACCGTAATTGATCAAGATATAACCATGGAGAATGCATAGGAGTTACTGTTGATCTTCCTTCTCCCCTCCACTCCCTCTTCCCAGATCCTCCCACCTTTTAACCTGTACAGCACTGATCCCAAGCCCAGTCCCGATCTCTTCATCACACCCAGTCCCAATCTCCCCCCCACCATCACCTCTCCTTCACCCTGGCTGCCATTCCCTACAATCTGCGCATGTGTGACTAAAGCAGCACATAGCACGCATGTGTTGGTGTCAGCAAATGCAACTATTGCTTAATTCCAAAAAGTTCAATGCCTCAAATATGTTCCTTTTTCCCTGCAGAGGACTAGTCCCTGCATTGGAATATGTGTAACTTATATGCAGGGATTTGATTCATTTCCAGAAGTTACACTGACACTATACATATATATATATATAATATATATGAAATCCAGTATCAGTAAATGTGCTAATTTAATTGTTATTTATTTGCTTATTTTACCTTTGTTTACTCAAATTCACTTCATAGTTGAATATAAAATGGACATCAGTTTGTGATACTCCCTTGCTTGTCAGTGTTGGTGGCAAAAGTTTGTGTAGAAAACACGTAAGTAATAGAGGTTTCTGGGACAGAAAGAAGTTCTTAGGCCCATCTTGTCTGAACTGGTCATCAAGTATCTACCTACTGGAATCCCATTTCACAGCACCTGGCCCATCGCCTTGTCTGCTGTGACTTTTCAAGTATTATCTAAGTACTTTTTAAATGTTGTGATGGTTCCCATACCTACCGTCCTTTCCAGTTCTGAAGAGGAGTCAAAACAGACTTGAAATGTTAACTCAGTTACCACAGATGCTGCCAGACCTGCTGAGTTTTTCTAGCATTCTCTGGGTTTGTTTCAGAATTCCAGATACCTAACACCCTTCGAGTGAAAAACGTTTTCATTAAATCCTCTTTAGACCTCCAGTCCCTTACTTTTAAACCTGTGTCCCTTGGCTGTTGATCCCTCAGCCTTCTCAAAAGAAAACAATCCCAGCCTATTTAGTCTCTCTTGAAAGCTAAGTCACTTCAGCCCAGACAACATCTTGATGAACCACCTGTCTACACTCTCTAGTACAATCACATCCTTCCTGTAGTGTGGCAACCAGTATGCTAGCTGTGATCTAACCAGCATTATATTCGGCGCCATAATGACTTCACTGCTCTTGCATTTAATGCCTTGTCCAGTAACAGCCTGTATCCCAAATGCCTTCTTAACCACCCTGTCCACTTGCCCTGTTGCTTTCAATTTCCAGGAGCCAGAGTAATAGGTAGGGATGTTGGGTGCAATTTTCCCTCACTGGAGGTGGCGAGAGAGAAGATGAGGAAGGGAAATAACTGGGTGAGTTAACCCTGGAGTAAGGATTGTTCCCCCTTCTCACCACCTCACCAATTAAGTGCAGAGCAAAAAGGTCCATTAGGGACTTCCTCGATCCCTCCGCCATTTAAGGTCCTTAAGAGTTCAATTAATGACTGAATAAGGGCCTGAACTGTCTGCCCCAAACCCCCACCACTTCCAGATTACCTGGCTTGTCAGGTGGGAAAAGTGGCTAGTTTGTCAACTAGGTAACCATGGTGACCTGACTAACAGGATGAGAAGAGCACAATTCACCCCAGTCTTGGGGCAATCCAAGGACAGATGGGGATCAAGAGCATTGCCTCTGAAAGCCACACCCCTTCCTTCATCATTAACCTCCTTGACCTCACTACTCCCTGTTCTTGCGACCTCCTTGCTCCGTTGGACCCTAAGCTGAGCTCCATATCCTCTCCATCCATGATCACCTACCTCCATTTCTAGTCCATTGCCACTCTCTGCTTCAGAAACACTGCTCCATGTTCCTATTAACTTTACAATTGACTATTCCATTGCACTTTTGACTGGGATTCCTGTTTTCCATCCTTGAAAATCTTGAGCTCATCCAAAGTACGCTACCAGTATCTGCCTTTCCATCGATTCCTGTTCACAGGCAGATCTATATTTGCTGCAGATACATTCCATTTTTAAATGCTATTTTTATGTTCAAATCCCTCTGCGGCCTCACTGCTTCTCAGCTCTGAATGTTCTTCTAGCCCAATAGTTCCCTGAGATCTCTATGTACTTTAAATTCTGGACTCTTTCATGTCCTCAACTTTTCTCTGTAGGGCTGCATAAGCTGCTCTCATTCTGTAGTGAAGGGTGACAATGGAAAGTGCAGACCAAGGCAACTAGAGTCCAAGTTACATAAATGGACTTTCTGAAAATTGGATATCACCTACGAATGACTAGAAACCTATTCTCAGAAGAAGTCCTGTGAGAACAAGCCTTTAATTTAGGTGGGGAATAGCTGTGCTCCTTAAAATCTTCCCAACCTGACAGTTTCACAGAATAATCGCTCCCATTGTGTTTTTGCTTTATCAGCTGGTGTTTTTCGGACAGCTCAGTGCTCCAGCCGAACTGGCTATCCACATATTTCAGTGACAGACTGGATGTCTTCACAGGGGTCTCCTGCGTGCCTCCCAGTATGTGTTCTGGTAAAACAAGGATCATGTCAGATTTATGAGACACCCCCCTAGAAAGCTTTTAGAGATCTAACCAACCTCCCCTACGTGTGCCCGATACAATCCCTCCTTGCCAGTTAAAATTAAAGTTTCAAGCTTGATGACTTTTCATCAGGACTTTCAACTGGGATCGCAGAGTTCCTGGCTGCAACAAAAGGGGTTTGGAGTTGGGACAGTAACAAAGCTACAAATCCGTGTGCCAGGTCAGCCCCACCGACAGATTCCCACCCCGAATGAATCATAGAATCCATAGTGAAGAAGCAGGCCATTAGACCCATCCAGTCCATGCTGACCCTCCGAAGAGTATTCCACCCAGACCCACTCCCCCTACCCTATCCCCATAACCTGCAGTTTCCGTGGCTAATCCATCTAGCCTGCACATCCCTGGACACCATGGGAAATTTAGCATGGCCAATCCACCTAATCTGCACATCTTTGGAGTGTGGGAGGAAATCGGAGCAATCCCATGCAGACAGGAGGATAATGTGCGATTAGCAACAGTGGCACGGTGGCTCAGTGGTTAGCATTGCTGTCTCACTGCGCCAGGGACCCAGGTTCAATTCCACCCTCAGGCGACTGTGTGGAGTTTGCACATTCTCCCCACGTCTGAGCAGGTTTCTCCGGATGTTCCGGTTTCCTCTCGCAGTCCAAAAATGTGCAGCTTAGGTAGATTGGCTATGCTAAATTATCCATTGTGTCTAGGGATGTGCAGGCTAGGTGGATTAGACATTGGAAATGCGGGGTTACGGGGATAAGGTTGGGAGTGTCTCTGGGTTGGATGCTGTTTGGAGGGTTGGTTTGGACTCAATGGGTTGAATTGCCTCCTTCCACGCTGTAGGGATTCTATGAGTGATTGACCACACTTCGTGCACAATATGGCATAATTCATGGACCAGTTGGAGGCCAATGCTAACAGGATCTGCTGCTGAATCCCCTCCCTCCCCACACCTCTCACCCCCATTCCGTTAGGAGGATGGCAACACCTTGGGGCAGGCGGGAAAGCTGTCCAGATGTTCAAGTATCAACCAAACTTCAAAGGCCCCTTGTGCTCCCCTACCTGCCTCGGCAAATTCCAGCAGTGTTTCCACCTCACTGATGCTGTGGAGTCTCCTTTAAGGCCTGCGGCCTTGGGAATGCTTAATGGGTGGTGAATGCAGAGACCTCTTTCTGGAAGATTCTGACAGTGTGGTTCATTCCAACCCTTGTGGGCTTGGGGCCCAGAAATGCCTGGAAATTTTCAACAGGCTTGACTCCGCATGTGATCCCTGTTTCTCCCTTGACGGATGCCAAATGACCTGCTGAGTAGTTCCAGCATTTTACATTTTTATTCCAGATTTCTAGAATCTCTGTTATTTTAGATTTGCAATTGGTGGAAGGTTTTTCTTTGTCCGATATACTGCAAAGCATAAACTGGTGATGTAACCCTCATGGTCATGGAGAGTTAAGAATTGCCTCCTAAAGATAACTTAAAATCTGGAATCCATAAATTTCTGAATAAAATTGGTAGGGAAAGATCAACAAAAGTAACCCTTAACATTGATTCAGATGCAAGAGTACTATCATTTATTAAAAGCTTTTAATCTAACATTTTGATGCATTAATTTGAAATCTGCACTATCTACAATGTTAACCAAAATTCTTAAATTATTTTTAATTCAGAGGTAGCCTGGACAAGAGAAAGATTGAAATAATGTCTGCTGGTGTAGAAAAAGCTTGCCATCGATGTATTTCAAAAATTGCCAGCAATGGTAAGCAACAAGGTTTACTTTAAATGATTAATTTTATCATTCTGTTCATTGCACTAACTGAAGAAAGCCTCTTACTGATAATGGCAGTACTTTACATTTCTTAAAGTTATCGAACCTAAAATCAGGACTATCTGGCATTTAGACAGTCCATTGTTACAGTGTTGCTCAGATTGCTAGTGCTGAACAAAAATGATCATGTTTAAACGCAGGAGCACAGTACACAGAACCAATTACACTGTTTGAAGACCTATTACGATCCTTTATAACGCCTAATAGACTTGCAAGTGGATGATCAAACATATTGGTTCATCTAGATTCAGCTGAGATTTGCTCTGTGAAAGGCAGTGTTAATATTCGTCTGTATATATGGGCGCTGGGATTAATTTTGAGTTCATGCTGGCAGTGGGCACGACTCTGCACTGAGAGTAAAGCTTTAAATTACTGCTGTCTGCACAATATACATTCAATTGAGGGATATTGTCCTGTGAGCCCCTTGAAAGTTGATTAGGAGAAGGAAGATCCACACAGATATTTACATTAATGTTTTCATAACGGGCAATTTTAGCACTACCGCCTGGACGAAACTGGGTGGACAGATAGTTAGTATTGGAAAGGTGATACACTCATCAATGCCTTAGAGTAACTCTTCTGCCTTCTATTTTAACCTGTTCTATTGAGTAGGTGGCAAGGAAACCTCTCTAGAGCTGATGCGATCTTTCTTTAAATATACAGACCCCACATTTCCATGGTTAATCCATCTAGCCTGCACATCCAGGGACACAATGAGCAATTTAGCATGGCCAATCCACCCAACCTGCACATCTTTGGACTGTGGGAGGAAACTGGAACCTCTGGTAGAAACACACACAGACATAGGGAGAATGTGCAAACTCCACACAGACAGTCGCCCAAGGCTGGAATCAAACCCAGGTCCCTGGCGCTGTGAGGCAGCAGTGCTAACCACTGAGCCATGCATTTGGAAGTTTAATACTGGATTATAGATGTCTGACTGATGCAAAAGGATGTCAGCATATGAAGATCCATGCAGTTACGATCCCTGAAGTGATCAACAACTTCTTAAAAAATGGAGATGAATTCATCAGTAAACAATAGCAATAAGTAAAGTGCAAGATTTTAATGTAACAAACAAACTCAAATCAATGTAGATTAAACATTCTTAACTGTAACCACTACACCAAATTAAAGCTAATTCCACATCAACCAAACAACCAATTCAACCAAAATACTTTATGGAATGGTTTTAACTTTGCTGTGCTTTCAACAGAAAGATAATCTTGAAGCTTAAGCTCCATGCTCCTTCCACAGGGTCTCTTCTGCTGCCCACACCCAGTTGGGTCTTCCATTGTCTTTAGAAAATCGTTTTAAACAGTTTTCAGGGTTTCTCCAAATTAAATTCTAGCAGCAAGTCCATTCTGATGACCCCATATCCCTGAAATCTCCCAAGTCCCATCACATCAAACAGAGAACTGATTCTCACCAGTAAGCTGTTTAATTGCTAACACAAACCAGTCTTCATGTCTGCTTTTCACAGCACAGCTGTTTCTGACTCCCTCTCCATGTCCCTGTGTCTCTGTGTCTCTCTTTTATATCAAACTGTGAAAGCAGTCATTCATTTTCAAAAGGCTTTGGTTTGGATCACATTGGCTTGTCTCCTTGCAGTTTTACTGCAATAACCATTCTCCCCTCAAGGACATTCTCTTTTACTCAAAAGGAGACAGTTTATAACATAACTGTCTTATAAAGTCTTTTATTTATAGCAATACCACTCTGGTTGCCTTTTACAAATGTGGACCATTGCTTCCAACACACATGAGAAAAGATAAAGTTAAAAAATGATACATGACAATAACAGTCCTGGTATGCATAGCAATTTGATACCTGAGAGACATTTTCATTGGAGAACAATTTGTTTTTTCCAGAAATTTATCTCATATGGAAGACTTCTGGTCACCATGCACTTTTCAAATATTTTAGTTGTAGATTTGATGAGACATGCTTGGAAAACTCAGGCATTCCTTGAAAACAACTGAAAATTTTGGAATTTCCTGGCTTACTGAATTGGTTTTTGTGGTGTGGTGTCACAGATCGGAAACATGTCTGACAATGCTGTTTTATGTGAAGGTTACGCATGGTTGGATTATGTGAGCTTTTTATATTTTGCCCTTGTGGGGCCCAGTCAAGCCCGATTGTGATTCCAGTCCATTGGTATTCACGGTGGATATTAAAAAGGTAACACCTGAGCAGTATGCAGCTCTATTCGGGATAAAGTGTGACATATTTACCGACACCATGCAATGGTAATGCACAACATAAGGGATGGAATCACCTGCAATAAAACAGTGGATACATTAAAAAGGTTGTTTTGTGTCTGGTGGCATGTGGTTAAAGTATTTGTTTTGTCTAATTTTCATTGAAATATGTTCAAAAATGAACTAAAATCAACTGAGATAGCAAGAACTGCAGATGCTGGAGTCAGAGATAACAAAGTGTGGAGCTGGAGGAACAGGGCTAGGTGTAGATCTGGGTTGGAGCTTGGAGCTGGGTGTAGGGGCAGAGTTAGTGACATCATCAGCATCATCGACATCAGTGGTGGGTGGGGCAACATTGATGTTGGTGTTGCCATTGGCAGAAGTGTCCAGATCTACAGCCAACCCCAGGCCCAAGGCCTGCACGTATTCACCATTCCCCCCAGACCTCCCCCTCACTGAGGACAAACGGTCAGTCCTCAGTAAAGGACTCACCTTTATTCCCCTCCGCCCATGCATCAATGAATTCCTTTTACGTTTGGATGTTGAACACATGTTCCATCTCTGCGCCTATTTCTTTAACTGTGAGTCTAACCCACCCTCTACAGACCCCTTCTCCCGCCTCTAACAAACCTCATCCTCCTGGACACCACCCCACAGCCTCCTACCCTCCCTCGACCTTATCATCTCCAACTGCCATCGTGACATCGATCGCCTCAATTTCTCCACCCCTCTCAATCACTCCAAACTCTCCCCCACAGAACGTGCAGACCTCTGCTCCCTCCGTTCCAACCCTAACCTCACCAAACCCGCAGATAAGGGAGGCGCAGTTGTGGTATGGCGCCAAGGCCAGGCGCCAACTCTGTGACACCTCCTCCTACTGCCCCCTCGATTATGACCTCACCCCTGATCACCAAACCATCATCTCTCAAACCGTTCACAACATCATCACCTCAGGTGACCTTCCACCCACAGTCTCCAATCTCATGGTTCCCTAACCCCGCACTGCCCGTTTCTATCACCTTCCCAAAATCCACAAACCTGACTGTCGTGGCCGACCCATTGTTTCTGCCTGCTCCTGCCCCACTGAACTTATCTCCATTTACCTTGATTCTGTATTTTCCCTCCGGTCCAGAAACTCCCCACTCACATTCGAGACACCGCCCACACCCTCCGCCTCATCCAGAACTTCCGGTTCCCTGGCCCCCAGCACTTCATCTTCACTATGGACATCCAATCCCTGTACACTTGCATTCCCCATGCGGATGACCTAAAAGCCCTCCGCTTCTTCCTGTCCCGCAGGCCCAACAAGTCCCCCTCCACTGACACCCTCATCGGCTTAGCAGAACTTATTCTTACCCGTGAACAACTTCTCCTTTAACTCCTCCCACTTCCTACAAACTAAGGGGATGGCCCTGGGCACCCACATGGGCCCAAGCTATGCCTGCCTCTTCGTAGGATATATAGAACAGTCCCTTTTCCGCCGTTACCCTACCACTATCCCCCACCTCTTCCTCCGCTACATTGATGACTGTATCGACACTGCCTCGTGCTCCCACGAGGAGCTTGAACAGTTCATCAACTTTACTAACACCTTTCACCCCAATCTCATATTCACCCAGACCATCTCTGATACCTCCCTCTCCTTCCTGGGCCTCTCTGTCTCCATCTCTGGTGACCGCCTCGAAACCAACATCTATTTCAAGCCCACCAACTCCCACAGCTACCTGGACTACACCTCCTCTCACCCACCCTCCTGCAAGAATGCAATCCCCTACTCCCAATTTCTCCGCCTTTGTTGCGTCTGCTCCCAAGATGGAGTGTTCCACTCCTGCACATCCCAGATGTCCTCGTATTTCAAGGACCACAACTTCGCTCCTCCGGTGATCAAAAATGCCTTCAAATGAATCTCTTGCATTTCACACACCTCTGCCCTCACACCTCCTCCCCCCAACAAAACAAAAATAAAGACAGAATCCCCCTTGACCTCACATATCACCCCACCAACCTCCGCATCCAACGTATCATTCTCTGCCACTTCCGCCACCTGCAATTCGACCCCACAACCAAAGATATATTTCCCTCCACACCCCTATCTGCCTTCCGTAGGGACCGCTCCCTCTGTGACTCCCTCGTCCACTCCACACTCCCCACTAACCCCACCACACCCCAGCCTCTTTCCCTGCAACCGCAGGAAGTGCTACACCTGCCTCTACACCTCCCCCTTCACCTCCATCCAAGGCAAAAAACAAACCTTCGATATCAGACATGGGTCATCTGCACATCCGTCAACTTGGTCTATAGCTGCTCCCGATGTTGCCTCCTCTACATCAGTGAGACCAAGCGGAAGCTCGGAGACCGTTTTGTAGAGCATCTGCACTCTGTTCATGACAAACAACAACACTTTCCAGTTGCTAACCATTTCAACTCCCCCTCCCATTCCCTGGGTGACATGTCCATCCTGGGCCTCCTCCAGCGTCACAATGACGCCACCCAGAAACTGGAGGAGCAGCACCTCATATTCTGCCTCGGGAGCCTACAGCCCAATGGCCTAAACGTGGATTTTACCAGTTTCAAAACCTCCCCATCCCCGGCATCATCCCATGACCAAACCTCCCTCTCATCCCCACCTCCTTGACCTGGCACAACCTGTCCATCTTCTCTCCCACCTATCTGCTCCTCCCACCTCACTGACCAATCCCCACCACTCCCTACCTGCACTCACCTATCACCATTCCACCTACCTTCCCCAGTCCCACCCCTCCTCTCTATATTAATTTCTGAGCTCTATTTCCCCTCTCCATTTCTGAAGAAGGGTCCCGACCCGAAACGTCAGCTTTCCTGCCCCTCTGATGTTGCCTGGCCTGCTGTGTTCCTCCAGCTCCACACTTTGTTAACTAAAATCAACTGATTTGATTATGTTATTCAAAATTTCTAGTCTTCTGTGGGAACACAGCGGGGGATGACATAACTTGGAAGAACTGTACATATAATTAAATTTGCTACCTTTGCCCCTTCTGATCAGAGACCGTTACTTCCTCTGTTCTGGTTAATAAAACATTTCACACTCACAATCTGTCGGCAGGTTTTGTCCAAATGACATATTAGAATTTTCAATTAATGTTTATTAGAATCATAAGCAATTCCAAGCTGCTGTATTTCTTTAGAGAGCATGTTTGTTTATCAAAGGTAATGCAGAGTTTATTGCTCTGCCTATTCTGCTAATTTTATTTCCCACATGGTGAAAACAATGCAAAATGACATCTTTATCTTTTTTTTTGCACAGCTTGTTTAATCTTTGGGCTCCTTGCCTTCCTTGCAGTGCCACTGTCAATGGCTTTTGTGGGTGAGAATTTGAATTTTCATTAAATATTGTGTTAGAATGAATATGTATACATGTATAATATTTGTCGATGGTATATTTTAGGTGTATGTTTTGCTTTTAAACTGTTATGCTCCTGGCTGATGTTATCATTCTTTTTAATATTTAACAAGGTGATATTTCACTGAATCACAAGCATGCAATGCTGCAGATTTAATTTTTAATAATAAAACAGACATTTATTATGCGAAGGAAAAAATGAAATAAAATAAGCCAAGCTACTTACATCTTGAAAGATTTAGAAACTCAGTAAAAATCCCATCTATCTCAATATGAACAGCTTGCAGGATTCAAACACCAGAGAGAGTTTACTTCTCGATCCCATCTATTGGTTTAGCTTAATTACTGGTTTTGAGAGTTTTGTAGCCTCTTCCCTGATTAGTCACACAACTGAATTTAGACTTTCTCGACTTTGAATAACCCCTTCTAGGTTCGAACCAACTACTTCTGGTCTGAAACTTTCAAACTAAAATGCTTACACTGAATCTCACCTGTATTCTAACTTTTCTGAATGAACTTCTTTCTCTAGGAAAAACAATTTCATATCTTCAACTTCAAACAAGACTTCTGTGAACTGAAAAACAAAATCTTTCAAGATGTTGATTTTCTCCCAAACAAAAGAAAAATCTTTCATCCTTCTAAACAAAAAGCAAGCTAACACTCTTTATTTTTTATCTATCTGTTAAACTCTCCCTATGGAAACAAATTCCTATTGTTACACCAGGGATTACCTCTCCCATATTGGTTTTTAGAAAATATCATGGCTCCAGAAATTCTGACAAGTTAACCATTAAACTTCCTCATAAACACAGACCAAAAACCCACATGCTTCTAGTTCAAAAGCCAAACATTAAAATAATTGATAAATCACACATCTTACATCACAAAGTAAGCATAATACTTTAAAATAATTAATATATTAGTACTTTACTACCATTTAATTGGTGTAAAGTGCTAGTAACTCTAAAGCGCTCTTAGTTTGCGTTTATTTATCCTCTGATTAATACATGAGCTTATTGAATTTGCTATTTATTGATTTAAATGATTTGAATGTCTCTCTAGATGCATATCTTTGTTGCAGAACTACTCTCACAGGCTGAGCAGATTTCAGGCTGGAATCAGCAATAACATCAGCCAGGAGCATAACAGTTTAAAAGTTTAGTGGTTGACTTGTCAGAATTTCTGGACCCATGATTTTTTTTAAACCAATATGGGACAGGAGATCCCTGGTGTGATAATAGGAATCTGTTTCCATTGGGAGAGTTTAACAGATTGATAAAAAGTAAGGAGTGTTAGCTTGCTTTCTGTTTAGAAGGATGCGAGATTTTTCTTTTGCTTGGGAGAAAATCAACAGCTTGAAAGATTTTGTTTTTCATTTCACAAAAGTCTTGGTTGAAGTTGAAGATATAAAATTGTTTTTGTGACATACAAAACACAGCATGGCATCTACTCCCAGGGCAGCATTTGTATTGGTGCTATAGAATTACTGCAGTTTTCTGAGGTGTTAGTAGGAAACACTTCTTTAGAAAGATGTTTAGCCTTTGGAAACAGCAGTATCACCTCACTTAAGTGTAAAGTATTATTGTAAAATATGTGGTTATTGCTGAGGACAGCAATTTAGCTCTACAGTCCCTGGAGCTTTAACCCTTAAATTTTAAGAATTCAACATGAGTAAAGCAGAACACTGAATCTTACTGGAAAACTAAGAAATGTTATTTATGGACCTAGAAATATAAAGACTATATTTGCTGCACCTATTTTGAATGTAGTAAAGGTGATCTATGAAGTGAGTTGAAGACATCTTCAGGTCTCTAGACCACAAATATACCAGAGGATTTTCCATATGCTCCACTTGGGTGAACACATTCACTCCTGCTGCATGTAATCATGTTGAGTGGCTGTGATTTTCTGTTCAACCACATTTCTCTTACTGAGTATCTTATAGGCAGCAACAGTAGACTACCCCTGGGAGGAAGAGGCATCGAGCCTCACTCGTAGCAACTTACACAATGGTACCTGAAAGAGATTGGAATCTATAGAGCTATTTAACATTGGTTTGAATCATTTTTAATGGTTTTAAATTTTAAAGTCTTTTTAATATTTTCGTTAAAGTTTATAAACTTTGTTCAAGTTTTCTTTACAATTTGCAAAGTTATCTTTATGTATTTTTTACCATAATTTTTAAATTTTAAATTTTAAAGATCTGGACAGAACCCAGTAACCAATGGGCTTTTCCTTAGGATCCTCAATTTCCCAGCGTTGAGGAGGGTGTAGAGGAGGATCAGAAGACGCATTGTAGGGATGTGAAGTTGAATAACATAAAATTACTTAAACTCTACAACACAAAAAGATGCTGTTCATTCCAGTTGCTATATGCTGATGTTAAATACAGCTCTATTTACCTTCTATGTCCTAATGGTCTCTTTCCACCCTATCCCCATATTGCTGTATACCCTGTAAGCACTGCATGTAGCAACAGGTTCCAGATGATCCTCTCTGCCTTTGCAAAGTAAAAAACTCCTAAATGCCATGATTTACTTGTTAGTAAAAATCTTATGTTTATTTGTACAATCAGTATACCTATTGATAACTTCTGAAAAACTGCAATTCCCAGGAACTGACTGAGAGGATCACACAAGATTTCATGTTTTACAAATGCAACTGTAACAGACTAAAATCAGCATTGACTAGACCTTAGTTTGTAGGTAACTACACTGAAGTACAGACAAGATATACCCCTTCCTTCGCCTCCTTACATGATTGAAAGCCCTACACCGCAGTTAGCTATAACACCATACTGTCTGCTGAATGTGCAAAGTTACTCCCAACTTTCCAAAAGTTTGCTTTTCCTCATTTGACTCAGACATGATGTCAAATGTTGTTCTTCAGTCTTGTGAGAATCCCCATCCTGACTTACAGCAGCAAGACCTGCTCCAGTGACAACTTCTCCTGGTCTTGCCTAGGTAAATCTTACAGTATCCTTAAATCTCCAGGGGTTCCACCTCTTCACCCAGAGAAAATGCTCCCACCCCATTATCACTGGTAGCTAATCAAGACCATTCTTTTTCCCTGCTGTTTGGAACAGCTCTTTGTTATACTTAGTCCAGGACACTCTTTCCTTCTGTCCAGGGTCGCTCGGTCAATGGGTGTGATGTTAGTGTTGGGGGCATGTAAAATAGCCTGGAAGGAGAAACCAAGAAACTTTTGAATGATGCATACTGGCCCAACCTGTCTTGTTTATTTCAGCATGGAGCTCTAGTATGACCAGTTCATTTGCTATTATGACTGTGTCTTTCCACTTTTATTTCCCTCTGATAGAGCGGGGCTCTGAACGACTAGCTTTGCACCCACCCCAAGTTCAAGCCCGTAATGTGGGGAGTATGTGGGAAGTGAAACTGGCAGCCCACCCACCATATTTTAAATAAATATTGAAGGATTGATTGGACTCTTGTTAAAAGCTAAACAGACCTCAATATTATCCTGCCTGTGTCATAAAATGGATGACAGGCAGGCAGGAGTGAACAACCTGATTTATTTTTTATGGAATGTTTAAAATGGCCGGGAAAGAACAAGTTATAGGATCTTTGGAGGGTGACCGTTGCCCTTAGGAATCTCCCTAGAGAAGATAACACCCTATTTCCTTCATACCTGTTTCTATTTCAAAGCTCACTCCCTCACCCCCTCATTGTCCCCCTCCCTGACTAAACACAGTCCTCCCAATACCCTCTAACTTAACTCACTCTGGGATCAATGGCTGTCTGTGGGTCTCCCCGTGGTACCAGCAGTGCCCATTGCTGATCACTGGCACTGCTAGGACTATTGGGGCTGCCTGTCAGTCAGATCACTGGTATCTCCAGAGGGTGGAACACCCTCCCAAGTGAGGGGCAGAAGACTTTTTTTTACAGCAGAGCAAAATTGTTCATTGCTGGTTGATCTTTGACCTAACTTTTTAAATCTGTTTTCTAGCAGGATACCCACTATCCACCTACCTGTAATTTACAGCCAAGTAAATCTGCACAAGAATCTCCTATCTGTCCAGGTTTCATATCTAGCACAAGGGTTTTAATAGGATCAGGGCCCCCTGTCCCTAAAGCAACCAGTCACATCACCTTGTTGACCGGCAGACTGGTAGGAAATGACTTATTCTATTTTATCTTGAACTAAAATAGTTTAAAACGTAACCACCATATACAAAATCATTCTCATAAAATTACGCCCTTGAATTATGGACTCACCCACACTTGGAACCAATTTTCCATTTTCAATATTTCAAATGGCTTCAAAATGTCAATGACCTCTATCTAGTCTGTTCACAGTCTTTGGTTTTCCAGGAAAAACAATTTGCTTGATCTTTCTGGATTACTGCACTGTCTCAATTCTTGTAACATTCTTAATTCTTTCTGCACCCATTCTAGTTACCTCTTTTTTAATAATCTCCTCCCACCAATTTTAGAACAACTTCGAGCTCATGGTTGTTCATTTTGTTTCTTAATTAAGAGTTTACATTTTAATACTTAATACCATAACACCATAAGAAATAGGAACAGGAGTAGGCTGCTTGGCCCCTCTGGACTGCTCTGCCATTCAATAGGATCGTGGCTGATCCAACATTCATCATGTCCACTTTCCTGCCCTTTCCCTGTAACCCTTGATTCCCCTACTGATCAAGAATCTATCAATCTCAGCCTTAAATATGCGAAGGACTCTGTCCCCATAGCTCTCTATGGCAAGGAATTCCAAAGACTCACAATCGTCTGAAAGTAGAAATTTCTCCTTGTCTCAGTCTTAAACTTATTGTGAGACTATGCCTCCTGATCCTAGATGCTCCCATGAGGGGAAGCATTTACCCTGTCAGGCCCCTTAAGAATCCTACATGTTTCAGTGGATCACCTCTGAATCTTCAAAACTCCAGTGAGTTAAGTCCTAACCTGTTTAGCCTTCACTCGTAAGACAATCCCACCATACCAGCGATCACTCCAGTGAACCTTCTCTGAACTGCCTCCAAAGGAATGATATCTTACCTGAAATAAAGGGACTAAAACAGCTCACAGTACTTCAGATGAGGTCTCACCAGTGCCTTGTACGTTATAGTAAGACTTCTCTACACTTAAACTCCAACCTCCTTGAAATAAGGGCCAACATTCCGAGGAAGGGTCACCCAACCTGAAATGTTAGCTCTGTTTTATCCTTCATAGATGCTGCCAGACCTGCTGAGCTTTTCCAGCAACTTTGTTTTTGTTCCTGATTTACAGCATCCACAGTTCTATAGGTTTTTATTCCATTAACCTTCCTGATTACACATAGATCACAGTTTACAACTTCAGCATATTGCACATGATGAGTCAAAATGTCACTGTTCACTGCAGGCTATGACATTTCAATACTGTTCTGAATATTTTTCAATCATTCAGAATAAATTCAAGATTTTGACAAAGAAGAGCATTGAATTTTATATACACATTTCTATTGTTGTCACATATAGTGACCAGCAAAATCCTTAATTTGTGGTTTGGACCTGTTGGTTTGTGTACAAATCTATGTTCATATCTTCTGTCCCAATTGCCTGTTTTAGGGATGAAGTTCCTGGATAGTTGCCCTATTCAACCATCAATTCCTTTGTATTTGCTGGTTGGAGGAATAATCGGCAGTTTGAAGGTAGAGTATCCTTATAAAGCGCAATGCATTCCAACCTTTGTCAGCACTTTTGAAAAGATGTATCACTAGCTGGTCTTGAAGTAAACAACTTTGTGCTGATTTGGGATTAATAATGATTTCCATACAGTTCTTCCATATTCAGACGGAAGGAGACTCTGAAAACTTTGGTTCAGAGATAGTAGGAACTGCAGATGCTGGAGAATCTGAGATAACAAGGTGTAGAGCTGGATGAACACAGCAGGCCAAGCAGCATTAGAGGAGCAGGAAAGCTGATGTTTCGGGCCTAGACCCTTCTTCAGAAATGGGGGAGGGGAAGGGGATTCTGAAATAAATAGGGAGAGAGGGGGAGGCGGATAGAAGATGGATAAAGGAGAAGATAGGTGGAGAGGAGACAGACAGGTCAAAGAGGCGGGGATGGAGCCAGTAAAGGTGAGTGTAGATGGGGAGTTAGGGGGGAGATAGGTCAGTCCAGGGAGGATGGACAGGTCAAGGGGGCAGGATGAGGCTACTAGGTAGGAGATGGGGGTGGGTCTTGAGGTGGGAGGTGGGGATAGGTGGGAGGAAGAACAGGTTAGGGAGGCGGGGACGAGCTGGGCTGGTTTTGGGATGCGGTAGGGGGAGGGGAGATTTTGAAGCTTGTGAAGTCCACATTGATACCATTGAGCTGCAGGGTTCCCAAGCTAAATATGAGGTGCTGTTCCTGCAACCTTCGGGTGGCATCGTTGTGGCACTGCAGGAGGTCCAGGATGGACATGTCATCTAAGGAATGGGAGGGGGAGTTGAAATGGTTCGCAACTGGGAGGTGCAGTTGTTTGATGCGAACCAAGCATAAGTGTTCTTGACCACTGTGGGGGGGGAGGTTGTGGTCCTTGAAAAACGAGGACATCTGAGATGTTCGGGAGTGGAATGCTCCTCTGATGCTGCTTGGTCTGCTGTGTTCATCCAGCTCTACACCTGTTATCTCTGAAAACTTTGGTTTGTATTGTTAAAAAGCAGTGCGAGTGACAGCGCAAATATTTGTCAGCTTAACCTTATTGAATTACCTCAGATTCTTAAGTAGATCTAGTTGATGAGTGGATGGGCAAAATTTTCCGGGCCCATCCAGAGCTTTCACGGGGGCAAGGGAACATAATTGAGTAGATGGCAAAATTTTAGTTTCCTAACAGTGAGTTAAAATTTTGGTACTAACTTCAGATGGGTTGGCTTTCCCAACTTTGATGTCAACTCAGAAGTCTCTTTGGCATTCATTAGTTTATCATGAATACTCAATAGCACCCCAGCCTGCTGGAATTACCTTCTTTGATACAATCTTGTTAAAGAAAAATACAGAAAATGCGTGTTCAGAAACCTGACCATATATAGGAGGTGTGTAGCTGGAGCAGTAGATTTCTTCCTCCAAGCTCCAGTGATTACAAACTTTTTCTCTACGTTGGCTCCTTCATTACCAAGGCACTTCTTTGCTTGAGAGCTTACAGCGCAAGACCATCCTGGTTAACCAGCTCATGAGAAGTCTTATTCACACACTGTCTTACTTGTCGTAGTTAAATGCTTATGTCTAAGGGATGATTGTCAATGGATACTGAAAGTGTGTTGAGGGCGGAACCTATGAAGCAATGGAGAGAATGCAGTGATAGAACAAGGGAGACGAGGAAGGCTGGAACTGCATATTTAGGGTTGGGAATACAATGAGTAACTATATGTACTGGGGAGGGAAAAAGAGTAGATGCACTGAATTGGAAGCAATGTAAAGGCATGGGGATCTGGATGGGAATGGGATGGGGGTGGTGGGAAAGCAGGAATATCAAAGGTGTTAGTGAAAGGTAAATAGTCATAGGGGAGATAAAAGCAGAGAAAAGGAGAAGGCCATCTACAATGATGGGGCAAAACCGTCATTGAAGGGAGAGGGTAGAGGTTGAAGATTTTGAATGAGAAATTAACAAGCACCATCATTCTCCCAGATCAGGTCACAAAAGAAGGCCTTGCAGAGAATGCAGTACAAGTGGGAAGGGCCCAACACATATTTGCATTTGTTCCTGCACACTGCAAATGCACCCAACTGAGGGAATCAAAAGAGAAATTGCAAAATATTATTCCACGAGTGTTCACTTAAGGACTTTTCACTGAAGGGAAGTACTCTCTGCAAAATGAAGGTGTTTAAGTTTTATCAACTCCTAATACCAACATCGCAACCATGTCTTTGTTGAGCAGTGCACCTAAGACTCACCTACACTGATGATAGTGCTGGGGGCTGGAGGGTTATTCCACATGCAGCCCTGCAGGAGAATTCACAGGCTCATGTTTCTGAAGTTAAGGGTGAAACTGTTACGCAGGCTGTAGATTTCAAAGTTGTAGGCTGTATCATAGCTGATAATGCAGAGTCAAATTGAATTAATTGCTATATGGAAGGCAATGTAAAGATCAAGCTACAAAGATCTTGCACATGTCCAAATAAGGAAGAGGAAAACCAGTCAAGGGTATAGACACTGGCCCTCACCACGTAGAAGTGGCACAAGGGCAAGTCTTCACCCAACACACGTGCAGCTAGATAAGGGCCAAAAGGGTGTCTTGATTATGTCAAAGTCTAAAATGGAAAGTAAACATTTCATCTCCAATATTCCTTCACACTTCAGTACTGCCATGGCAGATGTTTGACCAACTTAACATGTACAGCGCTCAGACAGTATCAACTGTGCCAGATTCCTGAACCGGAGGGGGTTTCACTCCCTCGATATCCAGCTGATTTGTCACCGCAGGCAACAATTCCTGCAGATATGCTCCTGCTGTCCAGGGAGCTGTCACAAAGCTCACATTCTGTACAGGTCCTGGGCTCTGCAAGTATTTGCCCTGCCACCTTCCCCAACACTGGCTCATGAGCGACAGCAAGAAAAAATGGCTGATGACCACAAGTGTGCAATTCCCAGATTGATGCTGAACAGTGCTGCAATGTACATCCATTGGGGTCAACACTCAGTCTCCTGAGTATGCACTACCATTGCCTGGGATGGTCAGGAGAGGCACTCAGTACTTGCCAAACAGGGTCTTCAAAATAGTGCTTGTACAATGGGACCTCCCTCACCTCTTGAGGGAATGGGGCACCTGGAGGGAGGTCACTGTCCCTCAGCCCTTTGTGTCGAGCCAGTGAATGAATGATTCATGACTCAATAATTGGAGTGAGGTGTGCCTGCTCCTATCCAGCAGATACTGACTACTTCGTTGGCCCAGTCTCTCCTGAGCAGCCCCCATTCAGTCCATGGAGACAGGCCCCACCCAGTCCATGGAGACAGCCCTCACCCAGACCATGGAGACAGCCTTGCACTCTCATGCTGGAGCCACCACATCAGACAGAATTTGGGGAGATTCCTCTGCCCTTTGCTTGAGTCTGTGCACGATCACTGCTTCCCCTGGATTTCCACCAGCTCATTAATGTCCATGTCCAGAGGCTGATCTTCAGCATTGGGGTCAGCAGGAGCTGAGTCTACAGCAGCCACCTGAGTGTCAGTGATCTCAGCTGTTTGAGCCATGGGATCATCTACCAGTGCTGTCCCCAGAATGTGACCCAGTCTGACTGTAGACAGATAACCCACAGCGGTGAGTATATCTGAGTTGGTGCAGGGTGGGGAGGAAGGTCTGAATGGGCATCACCTGAGTCCTACAGCTGTCCCTCCTCAGAGGTGTGGTTTGAGGGGCTGGTAGAGATGGTCCTGGGGGCTGCAACTGTTATATATCCCCCTGGATCTGGAGGCTGTATATAAAACTATAAAGATTTGTTAGTGTTGCAAGTTGACACTCTTACCCAAGTTTTTACTAAGACATTGTTGCTTGCTGTGCAGGGGGATTAGCTGCTTGGAGGCTTTCTTACTGGATGACTGTAAATATCCAACCTCCTCTTCAGCACAGACACTCTGTCCTGCCAGCTCAGTGACCTCCTCCTCGAAGTGGGTGAGGAGTCTTATGTTAGACACCCCTCATCCCTCACCCCTCCATCCGAGTACTCTTGTGCTGTTTGTTCAAGATCTTCTCCTGCAGAAGGGAAGAAGCGTGAAGGGACGTTAATATGGATACCTGAACACCGTGCCTGCATTGTTAGATACAAATAGAGATGTCAGTCCCCTCAGCTGTGACTGTCCATGTGCATTATTTGTCGAATGTCTGTGGTATGGCAAAAGTTTGAACTAAAAGGCTCTAAATGAAAAATGGCTCAGTGTGGTCAAAGAGCTAAAGTTGATGCAAATCAATAAAGCATGAGATGATGTGTGCACCTGAGACAACTGTGTGGTGTTCACCTCAGAACCACCTTTTGCAGTTGTCACCTTGTCCCTGTGCAAGGCTTTTGTAAAAAACTATCAAATGTGGACTTTCCCCCAGTTGTGAATAAAGATCAGTGAGCTGGTGGTGCTTGAGCTCCTGAGAGTCATAGTTGCTTTTAAGTTTTAAGTGTGAACTCTCACAGATGTGTGAGAGACAGTAACACTGTGGTGCTGGTGCTGTTTCAATATTAGCTATAATGAAGTAACAGACACATTGGTTTCACATGAGGCATCTGATGGAGATGCCTGGTACCCAATCCTAAGTGTGGCAGTTTTGTGCACTGGCAACCTTGCAATGCTAACTCATGGGGGCATGTAGCTCTGTGCAGGTGGTGGTGGTATTTGCCCTGGCACAGTGTAGCAGGTCACCTATCCTTGTACAGCCCTGTGATCAGGTTTTGTTGAAGTGCCCAGGGGTGCTAACCTCCACAGCCACCTCTGGCCAGGCTGCTTATGGTCAGTTATGATGGCATCTTATTGCCATCCCTAGGGAAAAACTCTTCCCTTCTCTCTTGGACAGCCTTCAGGACTACTTCTGAACAGTTGCTTTTTGCTTGGTCTCTGACATCTTCAGGGGTGTGTGGGAATGATGAGCAGAGGAGATTGTGAGATGCTCCTGTGTTGCAGAGAGTGCAGTGCTGTCCGATTGCCTTTTATAAATGGTACGTGGAAGTTGGAGCCTGTAAGGTCGTGGCAGGGGTCAAAACTCGCTGTCACCCCTTCCCCTCACCCCACCCCTCGCCCAGAAAATATCATGTTACCTGCACGTGAAGATGCAGCAAGCTGTGGTACATATAATTGCAAGACAAAACCCGCCCCCATCTACATCCTGCTTTAAGGCTCAGCTCCATCGTTAGTCTGAAAGAAAACAAGATTCTGCCTGTTCAGGTTCACAGTTTTACAATAAACAGCTTGGTAATTTAGGACTGAGCTAAGGAGAATTTTCTTCACTCATAAGTTTGTGAATTTTTAAAGTTTTCTATCCCAGAGAGCTATGGATGTTCAGTGATTGAAAAATTCACAAAGATCGGCAGATATTTGGATATTAAAGGAATGAAAGAATAAGGGGCTTGTCAGTACGAGTAGAGTTAATATTGAAGACCGTAAACTCACTGAATGGAGAAGCAGGCTTTAGGGGCTGAACAGTACACTCCTGCTCATATTTCTTTTGTTCTATTACCTTATATTAATACTTTTTTGCTTTATCAATCACACAGGTTACCCTCCTGCTCTATGATTCTGCAAAAATGAGACAACTTCTTTCCAAATCTGTCATGATTGGCGATGATGATGATGATGAATATCCTTGGCGACAAAATCTTCACCGATATTACATCCATATTATCCTCAGTCTGTTCCTGTTTGTGTGGTTTATATTGGGAAACTATTGGGTATTCTCTGCATATCTGCCCAATTTTATTCCACCTTTTCACCAGCCTCAGGATTACTGCGATAAAACTGTGTACATCTTCTCAGTGGTTGTTCTGGTCATAAGTCACACAGTTCTAGGCCTTTTGGTTCTGTGCAGTTGCTGCCTATTCTCTTTCTCAGAGCAAAGTGATGATTCAGAAGAAGAATGAAAATCAGGCTGAACATTAAGTACATGAAAATATGATTAAAATACAAACGTCTGATAAAACTGCACAGTTTCAAGAAGGTCAGAACTGGTTGAGCTATTCCTCTTATTTTCAGGGCTGTTTATAAGTAACTGTCTTCTCTGCTGTGCCCTATGTCATATTTTGTCCATGTAGACCTTATTGAAAATGCAGGCTAGATTTAGGCATGTGCAGCCCTGCAATAATTGTCTTTGTACATTTTCCACAATTGAATTCCCTCAGTGTATGCACTCGCATGATATTTTATTATCTTCACTGATAGTTTAAGCCAAGTTATATAAACGGCGTCAAGACACACAGGGGAACTGAGCTAAAAGTACTTCATGTTTCAGTGTTTTAGAAATAAATGAGAATTGAAATTCTGATTTGTATCATCTGGCTTCTGGTAAGAGAACTACATATTGGATTTATAAGTTAGCAATTTATAGTACTTAGGCCTTCTGATGTATTATGAAATCCCTTCACCCTATTACTGGAACCGGAAAGACTCTGAATTCCCTCTGTAAATCTTTCCACCTTAATATTTTCTCTTTTGAGATTCTCTTTAAAGACATAGTTTGTAGTCACTCTACTAATAACTCTCTTGGGTTCAGTGTTCATTTTGTAATGTCATGGAATGTCTTGAGTGGCGCAGTCGTTAGCACTGCTGCCTCAAAGCACCAGGGACCCGGGTTTGATTCCAGCCTTGGGTGACTGTCTGTGCGGAGTTTGCACATTCTCCCTGCGTCTGTGCGGATTTCCACTGGGTGCTTCAGTTTCTTCCCACAGTCCAAAGGTGAGCAGCTTCAATGAATTGGCCATGTTAAATTGCCCCATGGTGTCCATGGATGTGCAGGCTAGGTGGATTAGCCATGGGAAATGCAGGTTTCTGGGGCTAGAGTGGGGGCTGGGGCTAGGTCTGGGTGGGATGCGCTTCAGAGGGTTGGTGCACACTCATTTGGCTGAATGGCCTCTATCTGTACTGCAGGGATTCTGTTCTTTGTTGAAGGCATGATACATGTGCAATTTGTTGCTGTTGAGATGTATGCATGAGTACTTCAACTGGGCTACCATCATGCTCCTGGTTGCATGCAATTGGTTCCTGACACTTCGCTAAACAGGTATTTCTTCAACAGTCAATCAGGTTTGAAAGCATAGTGTTGTACAGTATGGAAACAGATCCTTTGATCCATCACATCCATGCCAACCAGATATCCTAAAGCAATCTAGTCCCATTTGCCAGCATTTGGCCCAGATCCCTCTAAACTCTTCCTATTCATAAAGCCATCCAGATGCCTTTCAAATGTCGTAATTGTACCAGCCTCCACCATTTTCTCTGGCACCTCATTCTATACAAGCACCACCCTCTGCATAAAAAGGTTGCCCCCTTTGGCTGCTTTTATGGCTTTCCACTCTTATCTTAAACCTATGCCCTCTAGCTTTGAACTCTGCTACCCGAAGAAAAAGACTTTGGCTATTCACCCTATCCATGCCTCTCATGATTTTATAAACCTCTAAGATCACCCTTCAGCCTCCAATGCTCCAGGGAAAATAGCCCCAGCCTATTCAGTCTTTCCCTTTAACTCAAACCCTCCAACACCAGCAACATCCCTGTAAATCTTTTCTGCATCCTTTCAAGTTTAACAGCTTTCCTATAGCAGGCAGACCAAAATTGAACACAGAATTCCAAAAGTGGCCGAACCAATGTTGTGTACAGCTGCAACATGACATCCCAACTCCTAAACAGAATGGACTGACCAATAAAGGCAAGTGTACCGAATGCCTTCTTCACTGCCCTGTCAACCTGTGAGTCCACCTTCAAGGAACTATGAACCTGCATCCCAAGGTCTCTTTGTTTGGCAACACTCCCCAGGACCATTAAGTGTATGGGTCCTGTCCTGATTTGCCTTTCCAAAATGCAGCACCTCACACTTATCTAAATTACACACCATCTACCACTCTTTGGCCCATTTGATCAACATCCTGCTGTACTCCTTACTGTCCACTGTATCCAATTTTGGTGTCATCTGCAAACTTACTAACCATATCTCCTGTATTCAAATCCAAATAATTTGTATAAATGACAAAAAGCAGTGGATCCTGCACTGATCCCTGTGGCACACTGCTGGTCACAGGCCTCCAGTCCAAAATTAACTCTGTACCACCACCCTCTGTCACCTACCTTCAAGCCAATTTTGTACCCAAAGCAGTTGTATATGAATAATATGGCTAGAAACATAAATCAAGTGTGTGGTCGAAGTTTCAGTGCTTGAGTATGTTCAACTCGTGTTCAACTAACACTTGTGTAACATTGATTCACCTCTGGGGGTGTACACTCCAAGGTGGCCTTGCAGAATTTATACAACAACAGGGACAGAGGTAGGTTGCCTTTCAGCCTGGGTATGCCTTCTTTCCCAAACATGTGTATGGTTAGGTTTTTGCAGTGTGTGCATGCACACGTGTGTGTGCGTGTGCAGGTAACCCCTGGTCTCAGGGTTCATACTCACTCACACTTCATCACTCTATCTTTTCTTCAGCAGTCACTCAGGACTAAGGACAACTTTCTTCCACTCTGCGATTGTAGCTTCTGCAGTAACAAAACAATATGGTTCTGGAACTCTCACAGATGCTCCTATCCTCTGTCCCCCTCCCACCCCAAATCCCTTGCACACTCCCCCTCTCTCTCACACACACACTGTCACAGAATTATTAAGATAAGAAGGCTATCTGACGCCTGGTATCTGCACCGACTGTCTGAGCATTTCGGCTTTTTACCAAGCTTCTGCCTTTTCCCTCCAACCCTGCACATCATTTCTATTTAAATAATTGCCTAATGCCCTCTTGAATGCTTCAATTAGACCTCCTTCCACCACAATTCGAGGCAGTGCTTTCCATACCCTAACTACTCGCTGTGTGAAAAAGCTTTTCCTTATCTTGCATTTGTGCCTTTTGCAAAACGCTTTAAATCTGTGCCATCAGGTTCTGGAACCCCTCATAATTTTGAAAACTTCTATCAAATCTCCCCTCAGCCTTCCCACCTCCTAGGAAAACAATCTCTAATTTATCCTCAAAACTGAAGTTTCTCATCCCTGGAACCATTCCTGTAAAGCTCATCTGCACTCCAGTGTATTCATATACTTCTTTTGGTGTAGCACCAGAACTGCACACAATACTCCAGCTAAGGCCTAATCAGTGTCCTATATCAGTTCAGCATAATATCTGTACTCTAAGAACTTGGGTAAACTGGACCTAAATTCAACCTTTGCAGGTGACACAAAGTTTAAAATTGTAATTAACAATGAGATTGTAACACACATCAGGAGGATATAAACAGACTAGCAAAATGATTAAATTTGAATCTGTCAGATATTTGATGTAGAGAAGTGTGAATTCATTTTGGTGGGAAGAATGAGGCGTGGCAATACAAATGAAATGCTACAATTTTAAAGAAGGTACAGGAACAGAGAGAACTAAATAAGGAAGAAGTAATTTTGCCATAGTCCTACTGACTGTAGGGCTGCTCTCTCATTAGAAAGAGACAACTAATGGTGGTTTAACATGAGGGTCACTGTACCTCAGGCGAGGAGAGAGATAGAGTCCTTATGGTAACTTCAGCCAGTGCAGGAATTAAACCCATGCTGTTGGCATCATTTTGGATCAGAAACCAGCCGTTTAGCCAACTGAGCTAACCAGCTCCCTCCAGAAAGAACGGGGGGTGTAGCTAAACATTTTTGAAGAAGGCATATTGGAGACTGTTTAAAAAAAAATGTCTTATGGGAATTCTTGGCTTTTTAAATGTAGGCATAAAGTACTAAAAGAAGAAAGTTATGCTGAAGCTTTATAAAATGTAGGTTTGTCCAGCATTGTGGCCACATCTGGGCACCAGATGTCAAGTCCTTATTGCAGGATGTAGCAGAGATTTGCAGAAGTAGTACCAGAGATGAAACACTTCGGTTATATGGAGAGACTAGAGAAACTGGGTTTGCTCTCCTTAGAGCAGGAGAGGTTGAGTGGTGATTTAGGAGAGTGATCCAAAGTCAAGAAGTGTTTTGATAGAGTAAATAAGGAGAAACTGTTTCCAATGGCTGAAAACTTATTAAAAAAGGACATCATTCTAAGTTATGGACTGAAGAACCAAGAATGACATAAGGAAAAATATCCTGTCCTGAATAGAAATGCACTGCCTAATTGGTGGTGGAAGCAAATATGGCAAAAAATAATTGCAATTAATTGGATAGCTCTTTCAATGAATTGGTATGGATCTGATGGGCAGAATGGCCTTCTCCTGTGCTCTATCATTCTATGATCCTACACTTGAGTGATCACAAGTTTATATAATCTATCCTTATAATTTAACACTCCGAGATTGATGTTGATTAATCAACTGAAATATCCTTGTTATTTAGGTAATAAATTATTTTTACTATAGATGCAAGATAAAGGCCAAAGGATCATTACATGACTGCTGAGTAGTTAGATTAACTGGTGATGGTCTCATTTGCAATTTGTGGGGCCTTGAATGTGCAATAGCTGCCTATATATCAATAGCCACTGTATGTCAGGAGATATTCAGTGGTAGTGACTTGGGTTGTTCTGTCTATGATAACTTCACTGGAGTTTAGAAGAATGAGAGGTGATCTCATTGAGATATATAGGATTCTCAAGGAGCTTGACAGGGTAAATGCTGAGAGGATGTTTCCCCTCATGGTTGAGTCAAGGAGCAGACAGCATAGTCTCAGAATAAAGGGGCCCAATATAAGACTGAGATGTGAAGGAATTTCTTCCCTTAGAGGATTGTGAGTCTTTGAAATTCCTTGCCACAGAGAGGTTTGGGAGAAGACTCCTTGTGTATATTTAAGGCTGAGATAGATAAATTATTGATCAGTAGGGGAATCTGGGGTTATGGGGAAAAGGCAGGGAAGTGGATATGAGGAGTGTCAAATCAGCCATGATCCTATTGGATGGCATAGCAGGCTTGAAGGGCC